ATGAATGTTCACAGGAGGACTGTTTATAATGGTATCAAACTGTAAAGAGCCTCAATTGATGATTAGAAAAATAGAATTCAGTGTGTTCATACTATATTCTATAGTATACAATTCTATAAAATGCAATATTATTCAGCAATGAAAATATAGAATTATTGAAACTACTACATAGAAAACAAAATCTAATTGAAAGACTGCAGATATAAAAATGTATGTTGTATGATTGTTTTGTATGAAATATCAAAGATAGACAATCCATAAATACATAAGTAGAATGGGATTACTTATGAATAGGATAGGGTAGCGCTAGGTAAATGTAGTGTAGCTGTTAATGACCACAGGAATTCTTTGGCACCAATTGAATATGTTCTACAGTTAATTGTGGGATCATTATATTACTGTGGATTTGCAAAAACTCTTTAACTGTACATATTGTATAGGTGAACATATAGATGTGCTCTTTCAGGGCATGTAACAACAATTTTGCTGTATTAGAAGTTGAGCCTATTGACCCAGTCATTTCTGTTCTTATGTAAACCAATGTAAAAGATCAGTGGTGTCATTCTCATTGATGTGATTGATAGTGATTACCAAGGGAAAACATGGTCACTTTACAGAACCTGAATAGGGAGAACTGTGTTTGAAATCCTGGTGAAATCCTTAGACACCACTTAGTATATCCATATTAAAAATGTTAATATAATCTATTATAACCCAATAAAGGCAAGAGAAATGAGGACACAGTTTCCCTAGATATGAAAGTTCACATAATCGCCTGGTATGGACCCTTATCAGGGTAGTTACTGCAGGTGCAAGGAGATTGTTGGTAGTGAAGTGGAGTTATGAATGTCACCTATGGCATCATGATCAATGGAATGGGAACAAAACATGTCATTAAGAGGCAGGTTTTTCTAGAGAAGGAAGGAGCTAAAAGTAACTGAAAGGTATGTGAATCTGGACTCTTATTTTTGAGCTAATCAGAGGAAAAATTGAACATGATCTGAGGAATGCTATTATTTCTGTGCTTTCTATACAATGGCATACAATATGGGTCATAGAAGTCTTACTCCTGTTATTAGCTAGTTTATCTTATTTAGGGCCTATTTCCATAGAGAAATATTGTACACAGACACTGATACTTGAGAGTTTCTCTGAAGCATGTGTTTTTTCATGGTGGCAATCTGTTTCAAAACCTATGATGATTTGTTCTGTAAACTTTTATACTCCATTGACGATTTGAATTAATCACAATGTGGTCTCTGAATATTTTAGCAGTTTGCCATCAATCTTTCACTGGCTCAAATGAAGGCCACATCCCACTAAACCCCTATATATTTCATAAGCAGTCACAGAGTCAATATCCATCCAGGAGATGCTCTTCATCACCATATTTCCCCCAAAATTAGTCAAATGTGATCACAGATAACAATTAATTAGTCATCACAACAGGACTCAGAGAGAATTGGTCTTAGAGAAGTCCTTGGTAATTACTCTGTCTTTAATGAGCTACCCCAGGATCTGGATTCCTGTGGGATGCAGAGCCTCTTAGGCCCAGGGATGGCTATAAGGGAGAGTTGGGCAGGGATGGTACAGATATAGGTGGTGAATATAAAGGCTGTTACTTCCTATGCCAAGTCTTGCATCATGGCCACAGATTCACTCTCAGACCCTCTAGGTAAATTTGAGGAAGGAGAATGAGCTGGTGACTTCCTGTCCTTCCATCCTGAGAATTTTGATTTACTTTGCTATACCGTGTTCTGCACGACAAATTTTCAGTTGTGATACCATCTGTATTTGCTGTATTTCTGCCTCCTAAGATTTTGCAACTTGTAGAAGTATTTTGATTCATAGTTACCTTTTATAATCTTTTTATTAATGCTAAGGTTCATTACTATTACTTCTTTGCAAATGTATTCTCCTAGGATCTCATCATTTCAAAAAAATAACATTTTTGTGTGGTGGGACTCAATGCAGCAGTTTTTAATCCTTCTAATATTTTATTTTCAACTTTGGAACCTTAATAAACTTGAGATAGGTTCCCTATCAGAGATTGTGATTAAATTTGTCTGTAGATCTTAGCAATCTATATTTTCACGGCAATGTATATACTTGACACTCAGGTGTCAAGTACATTGATGCACAGTACTGACATCTGTTGGGTATTCATTTAATTTATAAACAGCTACAGAAGCAGAATCAGTGCTTTCACAGGATAATGATGACTTACATGTACATGAAATGTTAGAAACACTACTGCTAGTGATTCTTATGGACATACCAGGATGAGAACTACAGATTGACCAGCTCAAGAAAGTGTGAAAACATCATTGAGTCACCAGTGGCAATACCTGCAGGGCGTGTGTTTAGTTTGTGATCTTGGTATAGCCTCAGACAAAAGGCATGTATTTTATTCTTTTATGGAGATGCATAATTTGGAGAAACAAGGTATGTGAATTTCCATAAATGATGCTTTCTTCTATAGTGCATACAGTATCCAAGTGTACAAACTGTTAAAGCAGCTGCATTAAACATGATCAACTGGGTGAAGATCCCAGCAGGTGGACTTAGTTATAAAGTATATTTTCCTTTCCTTTTTTATTGTTGGGCTGGGATGGGGTACATTATGGCATTTACAAAAGTTCTTACAATATCAAATATAAAATACTTGACTTCCCCATCCACAATTCCTCCCTTATCCTCCCATCCTCCAGTGCTGGTACAGTTTCAACAGGTATCATTTTTCCATTTGCATGCATGCACATACAGTATTTGCACTATATTCATCCTTCCACACCCTTTTGCCACCTCTCCCCCCTTCCACTGGTACCAATATCCCCTGACAGAACCTGTTCTTCCCTCTTGAAAGAGCTTTCCAAATCTGTGAATGCACCTCCTCAACTATCTTTGCCAGTTTTGAGACATACTGTGGTTCATTAGTCAGGGTTTTCCAGAAGAAACAGTGTGTGTGTGTGTGTGTGTGTGTGTGTGTGTGTGTGTGTACGTGTAACTAAATTTATTTTAAGGAGTATTGGAGACTGATAAATCCTATATCTGAAGGTCAGATAGCAGACTGGAATCCCTGGGAAGAGTTTATATTATAATTCTCATATATAGGAAGAATTCTTCTGCAGTTTTTGTCTTAAGTTCTTCAATTCATTGTGTGAAGCTTATAAAGTTATGTGGGATAATATACTTTAAGTGTATTTTCTTAAATGCTAATAGCATTGTAAAAATACCTTCATGGTAACATCTAGAATTGCTATTTAACACACACTTGAAATCAGGGCCTAGTTTAGTTCATGTATATAATATCAATGATGACATATCGTATAGACATCTGAGGAAAAATTCAGGAGAAAGTTGGAAAAAGACATGATTTTTAGAAAAAAATACCATAACTTATAAAATGATCATATTTCTTCTGACATCAATATCAATGAGGTCATATGGATTGAAGCATAAGGAATTCATTTTGAATGAGTATTACAAAAGCCCTCAAACTGATGTGCTCTAATATTTTTCATAAATGCCAAATTATATCTGTGAAGTTGATAATAGAGTGTAAAAATTTATTGCTATACAGTTATGTATAGTGACTTTATATTCAGGGAGTATTTAAGAGGAATAGTTATTCTAAATTACTGGTATTTTTCTGCCATTAAAATTGAGGAAATTTATGTCTCAACTGGAGCACAGCAAGTAAATATTCAGGAAGCACTGGTCACATCCAGGCACCATGCGAAGTGCTGGTCCTGGTGCAATCAAGAAGGTAGAAGCATCCTTTCAGGTATAAAGTTTGCAGCCTGTAAGGAAGTAAGCTAAGAACAAATGATCAAGGGATTAAGTGCCATTGGATGTGTACAGGATATTGTGGGAACATAGCTGCAGGTTTTATTTGATCTGTAGAGAAAGGTTAAATTTGTAGATCAAGGGTCAGGTAAGATACATGAAGGGGGATGTCATGTGAAGAAGCAACAGAGGAGACAAAGTGATAGGCAGGAGAAACAGTGGGGCTTGTAGACAAGAAGCAGGAAATAAGGACTTTCAACCCCAGCCTTGTGCCAAAGTGGAGTACAAATGCTACTGTGGACACATATGAAGCTGTGGATATAGTCACAGGCCAGGTATAAAAGCATCATTGGTGCCCTTGAAAGGATTTTCATTTGACTTAAAAGCAATGACAATCCCTTGAAACATTATTCAGATTGCCCTGTGCTACATTACGAATAAAGCAATTGAAAGTGATAGGTGTTAAGGCATAGAAATGGGAAAATGAATAGAGAATCTGCTTCAATTGTCCAGGAATGACAAAGTATCATTCTGTTCTAGGAATATTGTCTTATGGTAAGGAGTAGGTGAAGTAGGAGAATGAAGAGAGGAATCAGTAGTGTATGCTGGATTTGAATTGAAGGTAATAGAAAAGAATGAATGAAATAAATTCTGATTCACTCCTGGATTCTTCTGAAAATAGTTAGAGTAGAATAGGAAGTTTAGGAAGGATTAAAATGAGATTATGAGTTTCATTTGGGATTATTGAGTTTAATATGCCTGTGACACATCCATGGGGAGACAATTATTAGTCAGCTGGATACAAAGTTCTACAAGTTAGATATATATATATATACACCTGATTCCCAAATGGTAATCTATAGAATATACAGATTCATAAGAGGAAGAGATGTGGAAAAAATTCTTCAGGACCATAAACATCTAAAATATCTATAGAACAGGAGCCAATTATAGTTGACTTAGATGTTGAGTCAGGTAAGCAAAAGAAAAATGATTGCATTTTGTGTCTTTGAAGCTCCAAGTTTAAGAAATGATACAATACTGAGAGATGACAAGAGTCATTAATATCATAGAGATAATATAGAAACTTCACATTTATAAATTACAAATATTGTAATGATAGTTGGATCAATTGTTGAGAATGTATAGCAGAATGAGAACATAGTAACATGTTCATTTTTATTTTCCATTAAGGGTACTGGAGACTGATCATGACAGAAAGCAACCAAACTATCATCCCAGAGTTCCTCCTCCTGGGCCTACACATCCAGGGAGAGCAACAACACCTGTTCTATGTCCTGTTCCTGGCCATGTATCTTACTACCATTCTGGGGAATCTCCTCCTTATTGTCTTCATCCTGCTGGACTCCCATCTTCACACACCCATGTATTTTTTTCTCAGCAACTTGTCCTTCTCTGATCTCTGCTTTTCCAGTGTGACCATGCCTAAAATGCTACAGAACATGCAGAATCAAGTGCCTTCCATGCCCTATGCAGAATGCCTGACACAAATGTACTTCTTTCTGCTTTTTGCTGACCTGGAGAGCTTTCTCCTCATGGCCATGGCCTATGACCGCTATGTGGCCATCTGCTTCCCCCTGCACTACACCAGCATCATGAGCCCCAAGCTCTGTGTGTACCTAGTGGTAATGTCCTGGGTGATGACCATGTTTCATGCCTTGTTACATACCCTACTCATGACCAGATTGTCCTTCTGTGAGAACAATGTGATTCCTCACTTTTTCTGTGATTTGTCTGCTCTGCTGAAGCTTGCCTGCTCTGACACTCATGTCAACAAGTTGGTGATATTTATCATGGGAGGATTTGTTGCTGTTATTCCATTCCTGCTCATCATCATGTCTTATGCACGAATTGTATCCTCCATCCTAAAGTTCCTTTCTGTCCGAAGTATCCACAAGATTTTCTCTACCTGTGGTTCCCACCTGTCTGTGGTGTCACTGTTCTATGTGACAGCTGGTACTCTCTATTTATGCCCACCCGCTAATAATTCCACTAAGAAGGAGACTGTCATGGCTCTGATGTACACAGTGGTGACTCCCATGCTGAACCCCTTCATCTACAGCCTAAAGAACAGAGACATGCATGATGCCCTGAGGAGAGTTCTATGTAAGAATAAAATTCCTTACTGCTTATGAGGGTAGTACTTGGGATTTTTATATAATTTTATCCAGTAAATATATTGATATTAATATTGGGATATTGTTCCATAGTTTTCCTCACATGGGAGGTTTTGTTTAAAGGACATGCTGCATAATTCCTTAATACATATATGACAGGAGGTTCAGATGTGTAGGTGATGTAGGATGCATGTCTTGGTGACCTGGCTATGCCTCCCAAGGCTATTGTCTTGCCCATGTAATCCTGGAAAATCATAGTGTACAAGATGCTGTGTTATTCCTCACATTCTTAAACTATCTCAGGATTTTATCATTTTATCCAAAATTCTGGTTTTTATGGCATCATTTTAAAATAATGTTCTTTATTCCAAGATCAATACTCAATGTCACCAAAACATCTGAACCTCACATCCTCCTTCTAATGTCACTTACATCCTCTTCCTAAACAAGTTTTGACATCATTTTATCTCTTAGTTTTCCCATACCCCTTCTTCCTTTTCAGGTCTATGTTGTTTTTTATGATCTGTCTTTAGCCCTACAACATTTTTCTCTGTTTTGCAATACTGTCATTTGTACAATATAAGTTTACTTAGGTTGAGTTAGTAGGTAGGGACCTCAGAATTTATATCCTCAAAACCAGGAAAAGAAGCTAGAGGTTAGAAAAAATCCAGTGCTTAAGAATGCTTCTCTTCTATTAAGTATTTTGGCTCTGCAAAACTTCCTATATACATTCATATTTTTATGAATTTCTCACGTTTTTTAAAATTGCTGTTTTTCAATATCCAATTTTTGGTTTTAATTTTTGTATCAGTGTTTCACAGACAGAAAAATGTGAAGTTCAATAACTTCCTATATCACAGGCAGTTCCAATATTTAGTCTGTGTAAATTGGCAGACTATCTGATCCAGGAGTTTCTTCTCATTTGCTCCCACTTCAGAAATATGGGAAGCAACAACTATTTTCAAATTCTGCATTAACATGATATAGACCAGCTTTTCCAAACTCTGTCTATTTATTTCCTTATTCACTTTCAGTGAATCATGGGCATTGGAGAAAGAAGAAGAGGTGCAAGAAAAGGGATACATAATATATTCAACAAAATAACTGTAAAGAATTTCCAAAATTTCAAGAAAGAGTTGACCACTCAAATACAGGAAATCTCCAGGACATCAAACAGGCTTGACCAAAATAGAACCTCTCCACAACATCTTATCATTGAAACAACTAGCACAGAGAACAGAGAAAGAATATCGAATGCTGTAAGAGCTGTAAGAGAGAAAAAACAAATAACATATAAAGTTAAAACCACCAGAATAATAGAGTTCTCAACAGAAACCTAAAAAGCAAAAAGGACAAAGGAGTGAAGTATTTTAGCACTGAGAGAAAATAATTTCAGTTTTACGACACTCTACCAAGGAAAACTATCATTCGAAATTGATGGAAGAATAGAAGTCTTTCATAATAAACAGAAACTAAAACAATATATGACCACCAAGCCACCACTACAGAAGATTCTGAGAGGAAAATTCTACACAGAGAAGACAAAAACAAACATGACCATGAAAGGACAAGAAGTATTAACCCTCAGGAGAAAAACAGACAAAACAGACAAATACTTACAGAGTAGCATGGAATTGGTGTACAAACTCAAATCCTAGAACAACTAAATGACAAGAATCACCACATAACTCTCAATATTAACACTTAATGTTAATGGACTCAATTCTCTCATCAAAAGACACAGCTTGGCAAACTGTATTAAAAAGGAAGATCCAACACTCTGTTGTTTATAAGAGACCCACCTTGTTGACAGAAATGAACACTGGCTTATGGTGAAAGGCAGGAAGATTTGCAAAGCTAATGGCTACCAGAAACAGGCAGGAGTAACAATACTTACATAAGACAAAGTGGATTTCAAGCTTACATTAAGTAAAAGAGACAAAGAAAGTCACTTTATACTAATAAAAGGAGCAATACATCAAGAAGAAATAACACTTATCAACTTATATGCACCTAATGTCAGTGAACCCAACTTCATTAAACATATACTGAAGGAATTAAAATCACATATGGGCTCCAACACAGTGGTAGTGTGAGACTTTAATACAGGACTATCACCAATAGATAGGTCATTCAGACAAAAAAAATCAAAAGAAATCCTAGAACTAAATGACCACATAGATCAAATGGATTGAAAGATGTCCACAGAACATTCCACCCTACAACAGCAAGATATACTTTCTTCTTCAGCAGCCCATGGAACTTTCTCCAAATAGACCATATTATAGGGCACAAAGCAAGTCTCAACCAATATAAGAAAACTGAAATAATCCCCTGCATACTATCTGATGGGAATACAACCAAACAAGAACTGAACTACAAAATCAGTATCAGAAAATATGCAAACAAATGGAAGTTGAACAACACATTACTCAATTATGAGTGGGTCATAGAAGAAATAAGGGAGGAAATAAAAAAGTTCCTGGAATTTAATGGAAATGTAAACTAAATCTATAAAAACTGTGGGAATACCAGGAAGAAGACCCAAAATGATGACCTTGGTGAGACACTAGAGACATGCTTAGCTGAGGTAAAGCACCAGGGAGAGTGAAACTTCAGCACCCCCCAAGGCACCACCACTCGCCTGCTGGCCCATGGCCCTCAAATAGTTCTACAAAACTTAAAGAAAAACAATAAATACATGGGCAGGTGTGCTGAATAGATATTGTTCAAAAGAAGACATATGAAGCCTAGTGTGTTGATTCATGTCTATAATGCTAACACTGGAAGAGCTGAAGGAGAAAGATTATGACTATAGGCCACTCTGGGTTGCATAGCAAGACCCTGGCTCAAATAAAAAGTTATACAAATTACTGACAGATAGATGAAGAAATGCCCAACACCCATAATCAAGAGGGAGATGCAAATTAAAGGACATTGAAATACCACCTCACATCTGTCAGAATGGCTATTAGCAAGAGGCCAACAGGTAACAAGTGTTGGTGAGGATGTGGGGTAAGAGAACCTTCACAGAATGTTAATGCAAATGTAAATTATTATAGACTCACTATAAAGCTGCATTGGTGTTTCTCAGCCCACTAAAAATAAAAATCTCAGTGGTATGACTTACAGAAATAGGAAAATAATTCTAAATTTTATATGTACCAACAACATATAACCTTAATAATGAAAGCCATTTTGAGCCAGACGAACAAAATAGTAGGCATTGTACTACTTTATCTAAAAACACTACAAAACTATAGTGCTCAAAACAGCATGATTTTGGCAAAAAATAAAAATACTGGTTAATGGAAGAAATTACACAAAACAGAAGTAAACTCACACCTTCAACCAATTAACTTTCAACACAGGCACTAACAACAGCAATTGGATAGACAACAGTATTTCAAAAGATTAGAATATCCACTTGCAGAAGAATGAAACCAGACCTCTCACTTTCTAGTACAAAAATGAGCTCAAAATGGATAAGAGCTTAAACATTAGACCTTAAATTACTAGGAGAAAACATATGGGAAAAATAGTTCTTGCACACCACTCCAAAGCATAGAAAGGAAAACAAAATGAGATTAAAAGGATTACATCAAACTAATGGGATTCTACAAAGCAAAAGAGACACTAAAAAGAGTAAAGAGAAAACCTACAGAATTGGAGAAAACATTTTCAAAGTACTGGTTAAACAATATGCTAATATAAAGAATATATGAGGAACTCAAAATACTCAACAGCAAAGAAATAATGACTCACTTTAAAATGCGTTATAGACATAAAAAGACACATCAAGAAGACATAAAAATGGGCAACAGGTACATGGTAAAGATGATCTGTATCACTAATCAACAAGGAGATACAAATCAAAGCCATAAGAAGTTAAGTAATACCATCTCACACCAATAACAATGGTTATTATCAAAAAGATTAAAGATAAAAAGTGCTGGTAGGGTAGAGGAGGAAAAGGAACACTTGCACGCTGTTGGTGGGAATGTAAATTAGTGAAGCAATTCTGAAAACCACTATCAGGCTTTCTAAAAAAATTAAAAGTATCAAGTCTCCGTGGCTCTAATCTTTAATCCTAGCTACTTGGGAGGCAAAGAACAGGAGGTTCGTGGTTCAAGGCCAGCCCAAGCAAAGAGTTCTGAGCCCCCATCTCAATAAATAGTAAGGCATAGTGTCCTGCCTTTGTCATCCTGAATACACAGGAAAGCATAAAAGGAAAATGTCCATCCAGCCCTGCTAGGTCATAAAGTGAGACTCTATCTCAAAGATAACAACAACAACAACAACAAAAACCAGAGTAGACACTGTGGTTCAGAGTCATGTAATGCCCCTAACTTACTGCATTGTAAGGTGTCGAATATTAGGGGAGCGTGGTGATAAAGAGTAAGTAATGCTTTAATTTTATTAAAGCATGATGTATACAAGATTCCAAGGCTACCTCCTTTGGAATATCAATAAACACTTAAAAATGAAGGACAGGGAGAGTAAAGTAGGATTTTTCTGGGGGTGGGTACCAGTGGGAGGTGGTGGGCAGAAGGAAAAGGTGAATGAGGGTGAATATGGTGGATTTATTTTATATGAAAATAGAAGAATGAAACCTTTTGAAATACAAACAAGGGGGAAGGGATGAGAGAAGATTATGGAATGGGTAAATCTAACTATGATATATTGTAGGTACATATGTAAATATTTACAATGCATTCCCCTGTACAACTATAATATGCTAATAAAATAAATTAAAACAAACAAAAGCACCAAGGCAAAATGTCTGGTGACCTGGATCAAGTGGTAGTGTGCCTGTTTAGAAAGTACAAGGCCCTGATTTCAAACCTTAGTATTGCCCAAAAAATTAAAAGGATTACTATATAATTCATAAATCCCACTACTGGGTACACATCCAAAGAAATGACAACTCTATATTGAAGCTACATCTATATTCCCTTGGTCAGTGCAACAGAATAATAGCCAAAAAATGAAACTAAAATGTCATCAACTGATGAATA